TGTGTTATGTTATGTTTGATTCGGTTTGTGTGGACGTCTATCAAGTCCATCAGTTGCACTATATCTCTCCATTGGCTTACTCCTCCATGCTGAAGTCGGACATTTACGTGCCAAAATTGAGATTGATTGGAGTTGACTCGAGCGAAAATGTTGGACGACGGAAATGTGTTAGTCGTTAGATAACTTCGTCTATTTTTTTAGGCTTTTATGAAAATAGTGAATGGCTTTGGTTCAATACCTTTATAGTTATTGATGAATATTTAGATGGCATTCCGATCTAAGTATTACATTCCAAAATAGTTACTTATTCCTCAGGCTGTGAGAAGCGATCTCCTAAATCGAGAATTTTCTATCAGTTATTAGGTATGAAAATTTCTAATTAATGCTATAACAAAATAATAACATACATTGTCTCCCAATTGCTGTGGGACAGATAAGATAAGTAAGAGGCAATATTAGAGACTTTATCGCCACCAAACTCCGTCCAGCTACTGCGTCAGCGATCTCAATTGCTACTCTCAAGTGTCTATCACTTGAAGCCAACGACCACTCGGACATTGTGTTGGCGTAAGTTATAAGAGAATCAAACCAAGTCTCAACAATATAGTTATTGGAAAAAAATGGTGTTGTATTTAATATGTGTAAATAGATATAAGGCTATTGATACGATCTGCGATGTTTGTTTGGATGTGTATTTGGAGGTAGTAAAGCAGTAAATAGTATGTAGTATCGTCATCGCATACAGTAATTGCCTTGTCATTTAAATTTGAAAATTGAGTGATCGAGTATAAAATGGTGTTATTAGAGAAAGGGGTAGATTAAGACTTTGAACGTAGGTCACCTGTGACTTACGCGGCGGTTAACGTGTTAAAAGATGATGTAGTGACGAGGATTGAAAAGGGAATGTAACGCTGGGTTGGACATGTAGAAAGGATGGGTGAAAGTAGAGTAACGGAAGAAGAATACAGAGCGGATATTAATGGGGCCGTCTGTAGAGGGCGCACTAGACGGACATATACTGGCCAGATTGGCGATATATTAAAGAAGGGTCATGAAAAGAGTGATGACTGTTGATAAAGCAGAAGAAGTATGTAAGAATTGTACCAATTGGCGTTCCATAGTCTCTGCCTGTCCCCATGGGCGTGAAGTGATGTGTGTAAATCTAATTTCGTATTATACCTACATTTCATAGTAAAATACGCCGTGCCGCAGTCGTGTCGTGGTCGTGCCTTTACTGTGTGCCACGACCCTTAGTATGATCTATGTAATCACTCGATGGTATGAGGTATGAGTGTTTATTTTTTGTATCCCAACAGTTATTTCTAGGCTTGTTTCTAAGTTGTTCAATTCCAGAAAGTACACAATACAGATGTAATAAAAAATATTAATGAACACATAAACGTATCATTAACGAACAAATTCATTTTTATTGACTGTCATCCATAGTTAGTTTTCAGTCATTATTCTTTCCAATAAAAATGATCTTCTATTTCCCGCTCTATCTTCTACTTTGAACCTCTCCTGATCTACGCATGCATGTCACGCGGTATTATTTATATCCTCAACATCTGTGGTGACAATTTCGTTCAATGAATAATTGATAGTGTTCTCCTCGATATTATTCATTCATATCAACCAGATTGGTTTCGGGTCTTGCCTATTTTTTACACGTTTAATCAAAGAAACAATTTTTGTTCTTGTTGACTTTTATACAATTGGCCAGGTGTTATATATTTATGTACCTATATGTAATCATTTGTTATTGAACTCTTCAATGCGTAATGGTCGGTATATTCATTGATTGCACAATTTGGCATTACTCTTCCATATTTTCTTTAGAGTCTTTGTCAACAACTTTTATATATTCTTTCATACCTACAATAACAGGACCCAATTTTATAATTTTTGCGTGCTAAATATTTAGGTTAACATCTGTTTCGTGTAAACGATGTAGACCGCTTCATGTTTGGTCTCAATTAGATCCAGTCTGACACGCATGCCGGCGTAGTGAACGACTTTCTTAGATTTCTTTGTAGTATAATACTAGACCAGTCTAAATTAAGATTTATATTACTTTTTCTTTTGAATCTGAACTATCTTAATATGTATCGCTTAAGTTGATAATATTCATAATTATATTTTATTTACTGATTGCAGTTCAATGGATGTTTTAGGTTAGACAGCAATTGAAATACTAGTATCTGGCATTTTCTCGTAGTATTAAGATTTTTTTACACACGACTTCGACGAACTCGATAACGACTTAACGAATTCGATACCTATGATTCGAGACGTTCATTCTAGTAGTATTTTGCTAAAAATTCTAAAATTGAAGGTTATGGTTTAACCGATTATACTTTGTTATAGAAGAACCTTATTAGACACGAGACCTTAGTAGATGCCGTGATCACATAGGCAGAGGTGTACATTATGATTGAACTGCCTTATTGGCCGAGTGATCGCAAATGCGACTGCCGGTCAAGGGGTCTCGGGTTCGATTCCCGGGCCGGGCAAAATATTACTAGGTTTTTCAAAAAATTTACAGTAGTAGCACGGAGTCTGGAATTGTGCTCGGTATATGGCGAAAGGCTCACTAATAGGGGTATTACATGGGACTCATAACATAAATAGTGAAAAGTGGGTGTTACATTGTACAATATAAATCTAAAGAAAACAAAATCTTATTTGCCACTGTCACAGACATGTGTTTTAATCAAAGCCGCTTTAAATTACTTAGAATTTGTACTCAATTTAAGCGCGTGTTCAAGTATGTTTGCAAGAGCATTTAGACAACGTTTAAAGGAGTTTGCTAATTCATGTGTACGGCCACAAGT